TGCTCAGATGTGAACTGTTACACTTAGGGAAGCAAAACTAACTTATGCTTGTACAACTCCAGAAAGTCTGGCTTGTTCTTGGCTACTTAGCATTTAAACTTAATTTAATTATATTTTTTGTATGTGTTAGTTTTTGTCACTTATGTAGCAAGAGAAACAAAGATGGTGTGAGTAGTAACTCCAATGAAGAAATTAAAGACACCACAGGTGATATGGACAAAATTATGCAAGCAGTAAAGCTGTTTGATGTGGTTCCTTTGTTTTTCCCCCTCAATAGTGCTCAGGGTAGGAAGGCAAGGATCCCAACCACCTGTAAGTCCCAGTGTAGCACTCTTGTTTCACAAAGAGCTTGTAATGTGGTGTGCTGGTTATGAACAGTCTTGGTGTTCACATACAAAACTGCTTTTATTTAACTAATTATCATATATATGTCTTACTAGTCAAAGCTTTTACAGATGCTTTTGCTTCTTACAGCAATTCTTCTGAAGGTGTGAACCTCGTGGCAGGTGAGTATCTTTATATATCTAGCAAATGGAAATAAAATGCTGCCACCTTTGCATCATTTACATTCTAGTTTGTATACATAGACTACAGATATCGACTAGATAAGACCTCATTTGGAGAAAAAAAAAGTCAGTAAATACATAGCAGAAGTATTTACACTTAAACGAAATGAAAGTTTATTGCTGTTTGAAAAACTCTTATTTATTATTTAATTACAAATCCAATTTTGTTATCTCAGACAATGGTTGTGGTATGTTTAACCCTGAGAGTAAGCCCAAAATCAAATACAGCTTCAACCAGAATTTCCCTTTCCTGTGCACCTTTTTGAAAGCAAGAAGTTAAATATAAGTTCTTTACTGCAAAATTCTGAAGGCTTTCAAATCCCAAAGACTGAAACCAAAGACTATGTGCAACTTCTTGCACAAGATTTCAAAGCCTATGAAGAAAGACAGAATTGGTCAATACCAGAAAGCTTCAATAAAAAAATAATTTATGACATTCAAGCCCACCGAAATTAACTACATTGAATGGAAAGTAATACTGTGTTGATATTCAAATCCATTTGCTTAGACACATGGTTCTTTAAAAAATATATATTTTCAATGTAAATGAAAAATAAATAAATGTCTAGTTAGAGATGTTAAAACTTTTTGAATCATTACTTTATCGTTAAAGATGATATTACAGATAATTGCAACTCAGAAAATATGTTAGAGAAAATCTGTAAAATTAGGCAGTACATGTTGTTACATTTGTAGGTTGTTTGCACAGTAATCCATTTTACCACTGACGACAAATGATCAGAATTGAAGTAGAGGGCAAAACCTATTGTGGGTGTTGGTGCTGTTGCTGTGACATGAATGTGGCAATCGCCACTTTGTACAAAAGCTCTGTTAATGCAACATCCCTGCACGTAGCCTCCTCCTGAGGTGTCTCCAGTCAGGTGGTATGCTGAACAAGTTCTGTTATTCCCAGGGCCTGTTTGCTCACAGCAGGCTCAGACAACACCTTTTTTTTTTTTTAAATAAACATGCTTAGTTAAAATAAAGAGGTTTGTCCTTTTGTTAATTTGTCTGACAATTCAAGAATCACATTTACTGAAATGTAATTTACATTTTCAAAGTCATTAACGACAAATGTTCAATGCATTTACACAGTTAAAGATGATGACAGGCAACTTCTGAACATAGAGCCAATACCTTCGGAGCAATTGCTGGACATGTACAAGAGGAAGATTGCTGATGAAGGAAGACTTTTCTTGGATGAATTTCAGGTTTGTCATTGGCTCAAAATATATCACAGATTTGTAGGCAGGTGGTTGGAAGAATTCTGTTCAAGAGCATGTATATGCAGAGTATATGCACTGGTTATAAATAAAAAATAAGAATCTAGAAAATTGAGTTAATTCTCATCTAAGGTCAAACAGGCTTCAGTTAATTTTGTTACCAAGCTCTCCTCATTATAAAATGATGGTACTTCTTTTTCCCCTTAAGGTGTTTTTCATCACAAGTATAAAATACACAGTCTAAATACTTCTCATTCTAAAGTACCTTTTAATGCATATTTTTAATACTTTCTTTTACTGAATAGCCATGGGGATATAAATAATATATAACTGTGGAGATATATATTCTTTATTTTTAGATAAAAGAAATTTGTTTATTTTCGATGTAAGAAATACATGAAGTAGTATCGTATGAAACAGAATGTTATCTTCCAGACTCAGTAGTACAAAATTTCTTCCATATACATTTGGCTGTAAGTAGAAGGTATTTTAAATACACGCTTATCTAATAAAAGAAACATTGTATTTTACAGAGTATTCCTAGAGTTTTCAATAAATTTTCAATAAAGGAGGCCAAAAAAAGCCATAATCAGAACAAAAACCGTTACATTGATATCCTTCCATGTGAGTATTTGTTTCAATTTTTGCATGTTTAATAAATATTTGTTTTCTCAATGCCTTGAGATAATATAATTATTTTGTTTTAAATGCTTTAAACAGATGATCATAATCGTGTTGAGCTCTCTGAGATCCCAGGAGACCCAGGATCAGACTATATTAATGCAAGTTATATTGATGTAAGTGACTTCTACTTAAACAAAGTCTTAGGCACTCTTGAAGAAATTCTGTAGTCTGTATATTTCATGCACCAAACACCTTTGAGGATTTCCATGTGTGTTCTTTCCATTGTTATAATGTATTTGGTATTATTGGACTGTTGCATATTGAATTTATTTTTAAAGTTGCAAATCTTTTAAATTGTTCATGCTTCCTTTCTAAAAGTTGATAACATTGTACTTTTTATAGGGCTTCAAAGAACCAAGAAAATACATTGCTGCACAAGGTAATTTTTAACCTTAAAAGAATATGCTTTCTTTATTCACCCATTTTTTGTTGGAGAGTAGTAAAAAAGTATTAGTAAATTTAATGAAAAATTGAAAATCTGACATTTTGAAATTTAATGTGAAAAAGTTGCCAATGAGCTTTTGCTTAGGGAATTCCGTGAGGATGAATAAATTGTACTTCAAAGGCAGATTTATCATGTTGTAGAATTTTACACCAAAAGATTCCAGATTTCACAGCTATGCACTAAGGATATATACATGAGCCTTTTAAAATGTTGTAGCCTAATGGCAGCAGTCATAATGAAATCAAGTGTTTGGGTATTTTTTTGTGTGATCTCTGGTTAGCTTTTCAGACTGCATGGCTAAGCATGTCAAGAAGGCAAGTGTTTTTTCATGTAACTGCACTCTTTGAAAAACTCCATTAAAATATCTCCTGCTAGGTCCCAAGGATGAAACCACAGATGATTTCTGGAGAATGATCTGGGAACAGAAGGCAACAATTATTGTCATGGTGACTCGCTGTGAGGAAGGAAAGAGGGTGAGAAATATCCATCCATCCATCCATCCATCCATCCATCCATCCATCCATCCATCCATCCATCCTTCTTTTGTCTGAAAACAGAATGGGTTGCTGTGCTGTGGAGAATTACATTTTCTTCTTGATACTTTGTTTTTGTTCTCTGCTGTTCTCTTGCTGTGGCAGAACGTATGAGGGAAAACATGCCAAAACACTGTTGCTTTATGGAATTACCTGTCTTACCAGAAAACGTCACTTTAGTCACAGCTGTAAGTAGCAGAGGGTGAGCTTCCATATTACAGCTCATAAATCCAGAAAAGGGCTCAAGGTAGAACTCTAGCTCCTCACAGACCTATCATAAAAGGTATGGTTTGTATATTTTCTCCTATGATCTTCTGATATCCTGGCAATGCCCTCAGTAAATCCTAGACAGAGTATTTTTTTGTCTTTGCCCTTCCTTTAACTGGAAGGTTGGGTGCTTCTGGCTTGCTTTTGTTCCTTATTCCAGGTACAGCAGGAAGAAGGGGAATCGCTGTTTGAGCTGCTTTTAAAGATGAAAAAGTTGGCAGCATGCAGATTTACAGCATCCCCAAGTTGATGTTATAGGCAGGCAGGAGCAATGTCCCTGAAGACTGAAAAAGAAGCCGTAGAAGTAGCTGCAAACTTTTCTACAGCCTTCAGGCAACGGCAACAGTAGCCATTCACATTTTCAACTAGTGTACAGGATTTTTTCCCCACTTTATGTTCCAAGTTAAGTTCCAGGGGCATAAACTTCAGGTCAGAGACCTGAATTGTTGGATATTTGGAATTATTTATCACAGACATCCTAAGCAGTGACAGCCTTTCCAGGAGAGGAAAAGACGTGTGAGAAGTTCGAAAAACTATAATGAGTTGCTGTCTATTTTAAATCAGACTTACTTCTAGCTCTCAGTGCTCTGCCACTTCGCTGTTGTGCGGCTCACCTAACCTCATATCTTCATAGAACAAATGTGCCCAGTATTGGCCATCAATGGAGGATGGCTCTGCAACGTATGGGGACATCATTGTGAAGATCAATGAAAGTAAAACATGTCCAGACTACGTCATTCAGAAACTACACATCACAAATGTAAGTTGATTCAAAAGTGTAAGGCTGACTGGAATTGGAGTGTCTGTTTGGAGTCAGTAGGTATTGTTGAAAGATCCTTTTAAGAGGAGTCAGCTATCAATGAAAGACGCTCTACTGTTTTTCGCTAAGCAACATATAGTTTAAGAGAAAATCTAATTCTTAGATGGAGGTGTCATTCCTTACAAGAAATATGAGTTAGACATGTATTTCCCAACTTAAAAATGTATTTTCCTTAGTACTCTGGAATCTACATTTAATGTGCTGTTAAATATGGAAAACATACTCTTCTGTGGTTTCCTTAGATATTTTAGCTTGTTTTTTAACACAGAAATTTTACTGGCTTATGTGTACCTCACTATACCCTTCTGCAAGTAAAATCAGTGTGACTCATAGGGCACCATTGTCTACCCTTGTGATAATTGTACGGTGAGACATTTACAAATTCTGGTAATCTCAAGTGGATTTATAAACATAAGTGTTTTAAAATTACCATTTGGCTAGTGTAGAATCACTAAGGCTGGTTAATTGCTCTCTTTTATACATCTGAAATCACATTAGTTGCTGTCTCTGTAATTGAGAACACAATTTGCCAGCTAAGGCTAAATGTTCCTCTCAGGCCTTTTGCGAAAATATTTCAGTGAGGGTAAATGGAGCATAAGTCATAGCTAAAAGCATTAAGACTCAAAGAGTAAATCTGCTGACAGATCTTCAGCAAAATAGCCAAGCAACAGACTCTACTCATCTTGATCCATGATTACAGCTGGAAATTCCTATTCTGCTGTCTCATGTTGCATTAAAATTTGCTCAGGAACTGGTCTGATTACAAGAAAGTTATAAGTTAGTTTGAAGATAGTGAGAATATCGGGATGTTAAGAATTAACTATTAACAAAGACATCGCTCTGTGACTAGAACAATCTGACATTAGAAATGAGATAGTGCTGCATGTTGAGGACTGATATTTTTAGAGCTGTCTGCTCTCCGTTCTGCTGACATCATATTAATATAGATAAAACTGATATTTGTTGTGGAATTTAAGAGTGGCCCCTGGCAAGAAAGTGGAAACTTCTGCAGTTCTGGTGGAATAGTGATGTATAATTACTGAAACAATGGAGAACAACTGCATGAATAACTGTGCCACAGCTGGATAATTCAACTTTGAGTAAGAATTTGGGGGGGAATTACTGGGGAAATGCCCATATAGCCATAGTAAATCTTGGCCAGTAAAAGAATGCCATGAAGATGTCTTTCTCATTTTGCTTTATAATCGTCGTTATCAAAATGTATGTCCTCTCTTTTAATCTAGCAGCAACATATGAAAGTAAGACTCAAGACTTGACATGTTTTAAGCTTTAATCAGGTAACTTAAGAAAGTCAGTCTCATTGAAAATTACAGGTTTTCTTGTATCTACTTCTAAATGGTAGAAGTCTGGGTTACAGTTTAAATTTCTTTTTTTAATCTGTTGTACCCTTGGCAGGCTACTCCTAGGAGACATAAGAGAATTGCCAACCTGTACCCCTTGAAGGAAGCAGGGTTATACACTGACCAAGTTGTTTATGAATAGAGTAGGGAGACATACTGTACTCTGGATCATAGGCTAACCTGAGAAAAAAGTATTTTTAGCAACACTTTGAACCTCCTGCTTGTCCTCTGTTGGAGTCACTGTGTATTCCTGATTCACAGATTTTTTAAAATTGAAATTGAATATGTAAAGTGTTGTAACCTGAGAGACCATTGGGATTACAACATTACAGCACACTGAAATGTCTGTTTCAACATTTGATGACTGTTGCCCTTATTTTTCTTCTGCTTTGTATATCTGCACTTGATTTTGCCTTTGTATCTCTCTCTCTCTCTCTCTCTCTCTCAAAAAACCCCCACACACTTCACTTTGTCTAGGGAAGAGAAAGGACAGCTGGAAGAGATGTCACTCATATTCAGTTCACAAGCTGGCCAGACCATGGAGTTCCTGAGGATCCGCATCTCCTTCTCAAACTCCGACGCAGAGTTAATGCTCTCAGCAACTTTTTTAGTGGCCCAATAGTGGTTCATTGCAGGTAAATATATATTAATTTTTAAAAATTCTGTTAATGTTAAAAGAACGTAAAGTTATTCAGAAAAGGGAGCTAGCAACGGTATTGGGCTGATCCCAAATTTTGTGACTTGATTGAGAGTGAGGCACCCAAAGATGCATAAAAAGGCTGTTTTTCTGAAGGATATTCAGGTCAATAAAATCTGAGGATACATAGACTTTTGAATTTTTGGAAAGCAAACAGATAAATATCAGGCTACTTTGGCTATACGCACCACATTCGGCAACACTGGCCTTACTTTCATTGAAAGATATTTAAAATACAAAGTCACCATTGTTTGTGTTGGCAATTAATTTACAGCAAGAACTGTTTTCAGTTGCTTCATATCCCATTGCTACACATTTTCACTTTCGTGCTCTGACTGCTCCTCTCTCAGAGTGGGACCGGGAGATGACATTCCCTCTCAATAACCAAATCCCTTTGTGCTTTGCAGTGCCGGTGTTGGACGCACTGGGACATATATAGGAATTGATGCCATGCTGGAAGGGCTGGACGCAGAAGGCAGAGTGGATGTTTATGGCTATGTGGTGAAGCTGCGTCGGCAGCGGTGCCTCATGGTTCAAGTAGAGGTATCTTGCTAAAACTCCTGTCACTTAGAATTCTCCTTTGCTTCGTCAGTATTTCTCAGAAGTGTGCTGCTCAGTCTTGGGTACTGCTACAGTTCAGTTGAAGTTGTGCATAGAAAATATAGCTCTTAAAAATATTGAGAGAGAGAAAAACTTCCAACAGTTTTTCAGTTTTAGAAATTTCAACTAAAGTTTAGGCTTTAAAAAAAGGAGCCAAGAAGAACATTTTAGATTTGATAATCCAGTTTTTGGTGTACAATTCACAAATACAAAATTGAGCTTGCATAGTCAAACTTAATTTTCAAATTCTAAAAACTGTCTGTCTGGGTGGGATTTTCAGTTGAGTTGAGAGTACAACAAAAGTTACGGACAGATGCAATGCATGTGTTTAACTTAAACATTTTGCAGATCTTTCAAATCTCAATTGCATATTTCTTGAATGACATTACATTTATTTGCAGAACAATTTTCATCCAACACACTAAATACGCTCCAAAATGTCTAATTTGGAAGTCCCTGTGATTTTTAATAGTTGTATTTAATGTCTATTTGATGTTAATGCTTAATATTATTAACACTAATAATATCATGGGAGGAATAGTTTCTTATAATGGTTTTTAAAAGTGATGTTTGTGTTTTGGGTTTTTTTTATTCTTTAATAACTTCATTTTTAAACCCTTCAACTGGGACACGCCAGTCACAGTACATCCTTATCCATCAAGCACTAGTGGAATACAATCAGTATGGAGAAACAGAGGTCAGTCTCTCAGAACTGCATTCCTATCTTAACAATCTGAAAAGAAAAGATCCTCCAAGTGATCCTTCTCTGCTGGAGGCAGAGTTTCAGGTAAATAAGCATTGCATTCTGGTGCCCTTACCTCCCACTTACTTTAGAAAGTGCCTTGCACAATAGTAATGAGAGAGAGATACCATACATAATAGATCACTTCTGTGCTATTTTATTGCTCTGGCACAAAAACAGGTTTTTTTATCTTCATGAAAAAAGCTGTAAATTAATGAGATTTTATTCCTGCTTTTGATGTTAATGTTTTTAACAAAGATGGGGAGCATAGAATGATTACTTGTGGCTATGTGCATGATTTCCTGTGCCGTTGTACATGGTATAGCAGGCATTTTTAAACTATAGTCCAGATGTGACCAAAGTTTAAAGAATTAAAGTAAGAAGCGAGGCACTGGCAGATGAAGACTGGGTGTCGGTGTCCAGAGGGGACAATCATCCCAGGATCCATTTCAATCAAGCATAATACCAAACATCCTCTTTCTTTAGAGATTACCTTCCTATAAGGGGTGGCGGACACAGAACACTGGGAATCGTGAGGAAAATAAAAGCAAAAATAGGAATGCTAACATAATTCCATGTAAGTATTATCCATGAACCTTCTCTTAGTTTCTTTATCTTCTGTAAGAAAACCTACTAAATTTTGAAAAAATTAGGACAGTAAATTGTCTTACTGAGATGTATGGGATTGATTATTTTTCTCAACACTGTTAGAAAGTTCTCATAGTGTTTTAAAAAAGAAGAGATGAATTTTTAAAAATGTGAATTATTGGGAGTGTTTATTTCAAATACAGTGGCCTTTGTTCTGCAGTCTGTTGTGAAAGGACTAGCCTTTTTCTATCCATTTCTGCCCCCTGCACGTGCAGGGACAGCCCCCTCTAATGCTATACCCGAGCAGCAGTGTGGCGTGACGGTGACACTTTGTCTCATGCAGATGACTTTAACCGAGTGCCGATCAGGTACGAAGATGAATGCAGTAAGGAGGGTGAACGCGATTCAGATGATTCCTCAGATGAGGACAGTGACTGTGAGGAATCAAGCAAATATATCAATGCTTCATTCATAACTGTATGTATTTAGAGGATCCACTATAAATATTTTAGCAGCTTTCAGCTAAAACTAGATTCTAGTTTGAGCTCCTACTTTCTTATTGGCTTCATAAATAGAATAGGATTTACCTGAATAAAGGAGAAAGTTCTGACAGTCGATTGGCAAAACCATTTATAGTTTTATTCATCGAAATCCTCTACATTTTGCTGCAGTAATAAGATGAATCTTTTTCCCTTATGTGGTCTTAGACTGTTGCACTCTCAAATAGTAAGACTAAACATGGAATCACTTTTTTTTTGCGTGCGCATGTATGTGTTATGTTTAAAACCACTAGCTTTCAGACTGGCCTCATGAGAACATGTATTTCTATTAGTGGGCATCTGCCTATGTACAAGTTGATCCATATTAATATTTCCCCTGTTAGTGAAATATGAGTATAGTTATTCACGTATACAAAACCCTACTAATGAAAATTGGGGCCATCAGTTTTTTGGTATCATATAAACCTCCAATAGAAGGAGAACACTTTAAAATGCTGCACATTTAGGATATCTGTTCAGAATAAATGTATTTTTACTTGTGGGTAGCTCAGTGTGAACTGACTGGTGCATCAACTTTGTGTGGTATAAACTCAATTTCTTAGTGGTCAAATTAAACAGCTGTGTAGATTTAAAAGTTTTAGCCCTTAAAAATACGCTATGCAGAAAACAGCAGGGTGAGGTCTCACCCACTGCAGCATGAGTATATCATGTTGTCAGTCTGGAAGTGCTACTGTTATTGGGAGGACTTTAACGTCATTTGGCTTGTCAAATTCCTGTAAGACCACTGCCTACTGCAATAGGCATATTTTCCCTATAAACAAAACGGTTCATTAGTTTATTTCACTGCATATTTCTTTAAATGACAATCAGTTCTGTTGCTGGACAATCACATTTCAAATGAATTTAACAAAAAAATACTAACATATTCTTTTATAGGGTTACTGGGGTCCAAAAGCCATGATTGCAACACAGGCACCACTGCATGAAACTATCTCTGACTTCTGGCAAATGGTCTTCCAAAGAAAAGTCAAAGTCATTGTTATGCTGACGGAACTGAAAGAAGGAGATCAGGTGAGTGCATCATCTTCACGTGATGCATCCTCTATATGCAAAGAAAACACTGCACTGCATTCTCTCATTCCCTTCCTCCAGTTAAGCGTGTTTCAAAGGATGAGGAATTTGGATTTCTGTTATCATTTGTTCTATTATTTACCTTCTTAATTTACTTTCTAATTAATTTTTGAGGGGAATAGTGTGTAATGCCATATTTTAAAATACAATGACACTCCTACTATAAAGTCAATACTTTCTGTAAGTGCATGTGAAAGATAAAATAAAAGCAGGTTTGAATGATAAGCACTGACTTGTACTTTTATCCCTTTTAGGAACTCTGTGCACAGTACTGGGGAGAAGGAAAACAAACATACGATGGCATAGAGGTTCAAATGACAGATGTCAACTGTTGTTCTAGCTATACCATACGTGCATTTGATGTTACACATCTGAAGGTATAAGTTTCTTTACAAATTCCGAAAGGAAGTTTTAAATTTGTTTCCCTGTTATAAACTTAGCCTAAAGAAAGAGCAGGGACAGTTCCCAGTGCACTTACCTCCTGCTTTAAGAAATGGAAATATTTTTCACTTCCGGACTTGCAGCCAATCATGATAAATGCTATAAATTAACTCAAATTTCCCATTTAGTGAATTGCTGAGATGGTGGTAGTGGTGTCTCAGGAGGTCAGCTGCCTTTTGTACTTTGAGCAAAGCTTGGATGTCTACCTACCTCATATTCATGAGGTAGAACTCACATCACCATGCAGTTCCTCAGGAATATAATTTTTTTTTTTGTAAATCAGCTGCAATAGATGTACTACATGAATCTTTACTTTAACCTGAACATTGACTATATCTCCACTGCTGTTTTTCAGACGAAAGAAACACAGAAGGTGTATCAGTATCAGTATCACAAGTGGAGTGGCTTGGATATTCCAGAAAACTCCAAAGATTTAGTCAGCATGATTCTCAACCTTAAACAAAAAGTCCCAGCCAGACTAGTCACTGAGGACAACAGGAGTACCCGCAGTGTCCCGCTTGTCATCCACTGCCGGTGGGTCTGAATTCAGCACATACCTTAACCTAGTTGTAAGTTCTGGATATATGTAGCAACCACATTTTGGGATGCCTACCTTCTCCCACAAGCCTTTCCATGTGTCTGGAGGCTCAGCTCTCCCTAGAAGTTTCCTTGAGTTGCTCAAGCTTGACCTTTTTGATTGCAGTGCTGAAAAGTGAGCACATTTCTCTTTGGCAAGCATGGGTGTGGAGTAGGTGGTCAGAGCTAGCTGCTCTTACCTGGTACATATATTTTGGGAATAAATGCTAGGACAGAGTGCTCTTGTAGCATACTACTACTGAGGATCCATCAGAGCTTTTAGGTTCATCTCTTGCTGTGGTACCTATGCGCACTTTTTTAGGATTGTTTCCAAGAATAGCCTTGCATACCATCTAAAACAGAGGATAATCCTGCTAACAACTGTTGAGACTGAAGCCCCTAATGTCTCTCTTACCCTTTAAGTGGCCACCTGAGATCCAGGTAGCTTCTAGATAAACTATGTCTTGTGTGTGTCCTACAGATATTCTTAATTGTAACAATTTCAGTCCAGTGAGGTATGTTTTAGAAAAGAAATTAATTATGTAGACTTTGAAATAAATCTAATATTTAGTCAGAGGACTTGCTGATTTTACATTTTAAATTTACATGTATACTTTACATCATCTTCTAGTGATGGATCACAGCAGACTGGTGTATTTTGTGCTTTAATGACCCTCTTAGAAAGTGCAGAAATAGAAGAAGTAATAGATGTTTTCCAAGTAGTAAAAGCTCTTCGTCGCACCAGGCTGGGAGTGGTCTCCACCTTTGTAAGTAAATCTTATGAATTACCAGAAAAAATGGTGAGATTACTTACCATGGTCACTCATATCCTCCTAACCTTACGCATCATTTCTGATGAAATTCTAATCAGGACATTCACAGCCTGATTGTGAATCCCACTACCTGGGAATTGGCCGTTACTGTTAAGAATGAAGAAGTCTGAAAGATGGCCAGAGCTGCAATTCTGTAACACCTTTATGGAAGGGTGCATACTATAAAATTACAAATTGCATAAATTGATGTTTCTGCAGTTGCTTCAGGGATGTATGTGCACAGTGTCCATTAACTTCTACAGAGTTAGGCGGCTGACTGCATTTCACAGGCTAGCAGCCATCGACTTGTTTTATTTAAATCACTCCAGAGGAATTGTGTCCCTGTGGCACACACTGTGCATTTGCTAACAAACCAGACCTAGGTGTCATCGATATGGGGCAGGTTATTAGGTTCCTAGGCTCCTTACAATACGTGGTGTTTACAGCTTGGGGACTTTGTAAACCAAGAGGGTACTGAGTGACTCAACTTGAAACGCCTGATGCGGGCAGTTACAGAGACACTACATGCACATGAAATCAGAATAAACCACAGAAGCAGCACTCTGTAAGACAAAAGCTGTGGAAGCTGCTTCATATGCAGTCTTGCATATACTATAGAACTATATAATATATACTCTATAACTACATGTTACATTTCTAAAATTTAAGAAAACTTTTAAGAGTAAGAATGGGTTTGTCCTTGGGCTCTGAGCATGCCATTCATATTAACGTCTTCTCTTTATATTTAAGGAACATTACCAATTTCTGTATGACACCATTGCCAGTACCTACCCTCCACAGAATGGACAAATAAAGAAGAACAGCCAGCAGGAAGATAAAGTGGAATTTTGCAGTGAAGTAGAAAAAACAGATCAGGAAACTGATTTGATCACTATTGATCTTACCCCATCAATGCCAGAGGAAAATGAGCCTTCTGAAGTATGTGATGATTCTAAGGCTGCAGATAGCACTAAGGGAACAGAAAGCTCTACAAACGGCCCCACAACTCCAGTTCAAACTTAAAGGTTATACTAAAAAAAAGTGCTGTTGTGCAAAAAATCCTAAACAAAATAAGAAGTGTAAGATTTCTTCCTTTTCCCACTTTTTTTTTTAAAACATTTACTGTTTTATCAGTTTTTCAAAGGTATAAATTTAAAGAAATACTTGAAACTTGTAGAGAGTGGAAAAGAACTGTGAAAGTTTAATTTTTTGTGTAGATTTGCATTTAATACTTCTTCAGAAACCTTTTCACTATTTTTATACTTTTTTTAAAAAAATATGTACAGTGTAATACCATGCTGACCAGCAGGAAGGAAATTTTTTTACTTCTGTGACAAGGAGAAAAACAAATCAGAACAAGATTAGTGTGCTGCAAAAACAGGTCTGTCTTCAAAACTATTACAAAGTACATTAACCTAATTGGTAAGCACATATTCTAGCATTTCAGGAGTGCTGACCAAGCAGTGCTTTAATAATACTCTGTGGAACTTGTGGGACTTTGCCAAACAGTTTTAAGAGCTGGTCATTTACATCATGTGGTGATTCCGAGGAATTCAGACTTACAGAGATTCTGTAAGTCTTCCCATATAGAAATTTTTGCATTTTTCTAACTTGCCTCAAGGTGTCCTTGTTGCTCCACATATATTAATCTGAGATTTCAGTGGTAGACTCAAAGAAGAGTTTGGAGACTGGCATTTGAATGATTGCAACGATTCTGATAGAAACCACATTCTGTTTACTCTTAGAGCTTAAAGTACCGCATGCTTGCACATCTATTTCTTATGCTTACGGTTATTTAAAGGGACTGCTTCCATGAACACATCTCAGATGCTTTTCCTCCAAACCTTGTAGATTTTAATTGGTACAGGTTTTTTATTTTTATTTTCATTCTGAGGTTTTGTATGTTACAGTTGTGATATTTTTACTACTTCTTGCTGGATTTTAGCCTACTGGTTTTAGAACAAATAAAACAGATAATTAATAGTTGACAAGGTGGAAATTATTTTCTTCTATTGGACTCTGCAAACTGATCATTTTCTTCTAAATGCACAAAATCTTGTGCTATCCCATACATAAATAAAATTTAAATATTTCAGTAGGAAAACAAACCATTTAATTCTTATAAAACTGTGTGTGAACCCAGGTAAGAGTCATGATTCTCTCATTACAGAGGAAGGAAACTGCATTTTTCTTTTGCTTGAAGTCATTAAAGGAACAGCCCCTCAATGGATTCGGTACTCCTAGTTTATCACTGCATATTCCTAATCTCTCTTTACAAAGCATAATTGAAAATACTTTGAGAGCCATGTAAACAAACATTAATTTAATTTTGTTGTTACTCTAGCTCAAATATTTAATTCACAATCATCAGCTCAGACAAGTGCTTCCTGGCAGTCTTGCTTGAGTAAGTGGCAGCAAACAGTCACAGAGGCGGTGGGATTCCCACGACTGTCAGCTGAACTGCCTTTTCACCTGAAGTTCTATTAGGTGATAAACTAGCGAAGCTGAGGGGGTCACCTGTGGAGAAAAAGCTCTTGACACTAAATGTGAAGATAATCTAAAAAAAATGTAGGCCCAAAGCTATTTTTAGAGGAACGTGTCAAAATTGCAAATTGAACATACCTTTGCAGATCAAAAGAATGAAGAGCCTTGGATGCAGAACGACTCACTGGTGCTCATTGGATGACAGAGAATAATTATTTTCTTTCTCTTCTTCTAAGATTTGGCCACTGTAAAGCCCCTCTACCTACTTCAGGTAGGAGAATAAAGAGGTCAGTGCAGTTATCTATTGTAAGAGTGTGGAGATTGGAGAGTAGTCCCACTTTTAGGAATAACTGAAAATGTTTCCCAATCAAAAATTAGGCCCAAATTTTCATTTTGTGTAAATCTGAGGGCACTCATACACTTCAATTCCTTAAAAAATGGTTCTGCAGCTTTTTAAGATCCTGCAGCACCTGGACTGTAAGAATTCTAAAGGATTTTGTTTTGCTGAAATTGTTTTCTAGAATGATTTCAATATTCTTTCGACTGTGTATTTTTTAAAAAAATGCCAAGTTAACACTTGATTTGTGCATGTATTTTGAAAGAAAAGTTCTGAACTATGTTAATTTTGCCTCATGCATGTCGTCATTATTAGCCTAATCAGAGAAACAGAGCCTTACATTAAAACCGCCCTCATGTGCCTCATGTAAACCACCTTTGGAGTAACGTTCCCCATAGTCACAAGGGGATAAACTGAGCTCTTGGCTTTTAATTATTTTCAAATTAAATAACACTTCATACAATTAAATCTCATTAAATCCCACTGTGACAATTGAGGGAGCCTGTCTAACACAGCTTAGAAGTTCTGATTCCTTCTAGGAACTCTCTATGTACACACCAGGTATGTTTTTTTGCCTTCTCTATTGTCATTTGAATTTCAAAAATCCACGAGGTGGTGACACAGAGCATGTAGAAGAAGGCCATTATGCTGGATGCTCCATAGTCATGTGGCTTACAGACTTGTAGGCTTAATTTTATGTCTTCCAGAGACACAGTGAAGCATATTACAGGTGAGGCATGAAACCCAAGCCAATAACCTCTGCTAGGAAACTGCTCTGGCTTTGTTAGGGCAAGAAGAACATTGTAGCAGGCTGGAGATTTGGCATAGTCTAACAGCTGAGAAACAAACATGCAAAGTAAGATGCAAAACAGTTATTTTCTCAAGTTGAGCTAAGTTGCACAAAGACTGCTAACCACTGCCTCAAGCTAAGAGTTAGCCGTTGTTCCAAAGTGTTTTATAATCTGAAGTCCAGGATAAAAATAACTAAGCAACAGATCAGCTGGGAGAGGACTTTGAGCAGCAAACGGGGGTAATCAAGGGCTTGTGTGACCAAAGGGACTGGATTTCTCCCACAATTTGCTGGGTAGAAGCTGATAGAAAAGTAGGTATGGAAAAGCGACAGTGCTCTGCTAGCAGAGTCTGGTGTGGGAAGATGGAGGAGAGGAAGGATCCCCGAGCCTCCACAAGATTCTGCTTGGACAGGGGAACTGCAGTGGGGAATGAGCTGTGTGTTTGCTTTTCTTTAGATTTTTATATGTTTCTTGTGCTCTGTAATGAACAAGGTAGTTGTACAGTCTCTGAAAAAGTTTTTAATATATTATAAATATCAGCCACATCATGATTCTTGAGATAAATATTATACAACACAAAAAACAGCCAGCGCACTGAACTATGGCGGTCAGGGATCAAAGAATCACAGAACAGTTTGAGCCAAAAGGGACCTTTTAAGGCCATCTAGTCCAACTCCCCTGCAATGAGCAGGGACATCTTCCACCAGACCAGGCTGCTCAGAGCCCCGGCCATCCTGAACATGTTTCCAGGGATGGGGCATCTACCACCTCTCTGGGCAACCTGTGCCAGGGTTTCACCACCCTCAGTGTGAAAAATTGCTTCCTTATATCTAATCTAAATTTAGTCTCTTCTAATTTAAAACCATTACCCTTTGTCCTGTCGCAAGAGGCCCTGCTAAGAAGTCTGTCCCCACCTTTCTTATAAGCCCTTTAAGTGCTGCCTTTCAAGGAGATGACAAAAGCCGCGTCGCTTTCCAGCACCACAGCTTCGCTCGTTGCGTTTGGGCTCTTGTGGGGTACATTTGTGCCTGCTCCTTTTCCCACCCAGACATGCAGCTGGTGTCCATGAACTCATCCTTTCCATTTCTGAGCTGGCTGATGCTGTCAGAGCCCGCAGCGCCCGTGGCTGTGAGCTCGCTCCCCGCTGGGGAAGGGAGCACTTTCTTCCCCGTGCTCTGAACTGAGCCGCTGGGAAGTGCCTGGTGGGCACATGCAGGAGCCCAAGGGGCTGGACCAGTCTGGGAGGGTCCTCACCTGCCCCTGCAGCACCCCTCACCACGGACACCACCTGCGGCAGGGAGGTTTGCCGGGAGGGTGAAGAAAGCAGTGGGCTTTGAGCTTTGCTGCAAAACTGGAAACCTAAGTTAAAACTTGTGTGAGAGGCATAAGCTGAGCCGGATAGGGAGTCTGGGATGCATCGCAGTGTTGAAGCTAGCAGCTACAAAGGGAAGCAAAATACTAACATGACGAGCCGTTTCTGGGAGATGGCAAAGACATCAAGAAAGAAGAGTGGCTCAAGACAGGTGTCTCGTTAAGCTGGAAATGATACCCTTTGTTCAACATTCCTCAGAAAAACTCCACAGTAGCAATGCTTATCTCTTCGACAGGCATCTTGCTTTTGTAAAGGACCATTTTTTTGACTGTGTACATTCTCCAGATTGTCTCTAAAAGAATATCGGAAATTCCCCGAGGGCTCTACACAGCCGTACCACAGCTATTTTCCATACATAAAGCAACTGTTTGCCAAGAACCAGCATGCTGTATTTTTTACTAGGGAAAACCAAAATAGAAGAAAAGGTAAGTTTCAGTTACAGAGTACAGCTCATTTCTACAAGCATCAGCTCTACTTCAGAAAAAATGTAAGTCTTCTGAAGAAGAACAGAATCCAATAATTTTAACGGTACAGCTACGTAGAAATTAAGTTTTATACAAAAGCTTCATAAGTAATTTTTCTTTTCAATGCAAATGAAAGGAAGGTCATGATTACAAAAGAAGTAAGCAAGTTTATACTAAAACATCTCCTTTCTAACGACAAAAAAATAATTATGTAGGAAGGATACCTACTACAAGTTATTGTAAACTATTTTTCTCATTGTTTTAACCTTAGTGAAAAACAGGGTTTTATTAAATAGTTATGTCCTCAGACTCAGGATTGTCAGCATCAGCAATATATAAGGTTACTGCATTTTTGAAATTAAAATAATAAACCTTTTTCAGAGGCATAGTCATGTAACTATTTACAGCTGGGTTGTCTCTTGAATCCTACAGCTGCACGCCACCATGGCCAGCAGTACTAATGTGGTCATAACTGTGACTGACATACAGAGGAAAAAATAAAAAGGAAGTTTACTTTGGCCCAATTTTAGCACTCAGTATCAATTTTTTGGTTTTGGAGATGAAACCTCATGATAGCCTGACCTTGCCTGGCAGCTAGCTGAGAGCCAGAGCTCGCACACATCAATGCTCCGGAGTCCTTGGGGTGGACCTGGTATGTCTGCAGAGCTTCCCCGCCAGGCTGTGCTGAAACTCTTCAAATGCCTTTTGCTCTGCCCAGAGCGCTACCTCAATGCCTTGTGCTCGCTCCATTTCGGCAGGGTGGAGCCATTGGAGGTAATGAAGATGACACTTGTTTATACAGTGCTGCAGAGATTGTGTCTGTCCAAGACCAC